CTAACTGTACATGAGCAGAGAAGGATGGTGCCTAGTGGGGCTGGGAGGCCTTAAATGCACTCCTGGCGTCAGACCCTGCATTTCTAGCCAGCTGACCAGGAGGGTCTTATGCCCAGGTCCTAACGTAAGTGCCCTGCTGGAATGGCTTTCCTTCACAAGTCAAGCAGAGGGTCTGGGAAAGTTACTGGTAGGAGGGAGGGTAGGGTGAGTCCTCGCTGAACACTCACAGCCCTGATCTGCCTCCTCAGAGCAGCCGAGAGGTCCAACCTCCTTTAAGCCCTCAGCCAAGAGGGCACGGGGAGGCAAAGTCATGTTCCTGTGGCCTCATGTTCCTGTGGTCTCTGCTGCCAGAAAGAGAAGCCACTGACCGGGAATGCCCTGTCTTAGCCCCCAGTTGGGTGGGCAGGTTTCCTGGAAGGCTAATCAATAGGTTCCCAGGGTCTGATCCTGACAAGACCCTTCCCAGCAGCAGGTCCTGGACCTGGATTTCTCACCTGGCTCAGTCGCAACTTCTCTGTCTGCAAAACTGGTGACTTGCCCTCCTGGAGTCTGAGAGGAGCAGGACTGCCCTGTGGAGACCTTGGAACAGGATCTGGTGCACAGGATCACTCCCTAGGTCAGGGCTTGAGCAGCCCAGGACATGAGCCCTACTGGGGCCCTGGGCCTCAATCCCCAAGGTCCATGAAACCCAGGAAAACTTCAGCCCTTAGTCCCTGACCCCCAAAGTCTGCAGTATACAGGGGACCTTCAACCCTCCAGGCCCCAGTGGGGTCTCCTGCACTCCTTTCCTGAGCCTGGGAGGTCAGGAAACACTTTCTCTGGGCTGGCTCCATTTTCCAGATGAGGAAACTGAGGCCCATAAAGCTGCCCAAGGCCCCTGGCTGCACAATGGCAGTGCCAAGGGTAGGAGCCTGCACTCCTGTCCCCTTGGGGTAGCCCTTTCCATAGGATTCACAGCGAACTCACAGCCAGGATGGGGCAGGCAGGCAGCACAGTGCCAGGAGCTATGGCCTACGAAGTCTCTACCTGCACCCAACTCCCAGGGGCGTTCCAAGAAATCACCAAGGCATGAGGATGGAGCTGGTGGATCACCCTGGGCTCTAACCACCACACAGCCAAGTCCTGCTCACACAGAGACTCCAGGACTCCCAGGGGACCCAGGGCCACCCCTTACTGACCTCCTGAGCCCCTCCCCATGCCTGGTGCCTGAGAGGCAGATCCCACCTGTCCCCTCCCCTGCTTCAAATACTCATGAACTCTCAGCTGCCCACAGATGGCCCTCCTGTGCCTGATCCCTGCAGGGGACCCCACACCCCAGCTGTCTTTGAGGGTGTCTCTTCCCTAAAGCTGGAGACAGAGGCCTTGCCTCCCTGGATCTGTCCTGCCCTCCAGCCCCACCCTACCTGCCTGCTGTTCCCCAGCCCTTGGTTGTGGCTGCCCTTGATCTGCTGGCCCAGCGCTGGGGCATTTCTTACCTGGCACCCTTTAGATCCCTTTGCATGTAAATCTTAAAGGAGAGGGAAAAGCAACAGAAACCCAATTTGATGCAAACAAGGTACAAAATCAAACACATGAGGCCCTGCCTGACCCTCCCACGGCTCAGGGGCAGGTGGAGAGGGCCAATGAGTACCTCGGGGTCACACCTGTGGGATGCCTGAGCGGCCCTCAGCCCACATGCCGCACCTGCGCCTCTGCCCGGCCACCTACTGCAGCTGCGCTTCCTCCCTCCCTGGCCTTATGTATGGAGGCGGGCAGGCCTGACCGGGTGGGTCCTCATCCTCCCAGCCCACGAGGCCAGTCAGGCGTCTGAGAACAATCCGTACTTGTTAATCTTTTATCTAGAACCTTGGACCCCAGGTCAGCCCTTCCATCCTCCCTCCTGGGATTCGCCACACAGCCCCTATACCCTGACCTCGCCTGCTATGCGACCAAGTAACTGTGTTCCCTTTTATGCTGGCTGAGGCTGTGGGAGAGAGGGCACCCGAGTGATAGAGGCAGGCTGTGGACCCAGTCTCACCTAGACTCGATCCCCACCTGCCAGTGAGTCCCTGTGTGACCTCAATCTGAGTCTCAGTTCCCCCAAATGTGAAACAGGAACCTTCAGAGGAATTTCTCAGAGTTTAAAGGGGGTGACTTGTGCACACAGAGGTGCTTTGAGAACAGGACCCCAAGACCCTGGCAGTGGGGACAGGCCCCAACACTACATGTGGGTGGCCCACAGCGCTGGTTGTGTGTCTTCAGGTAAGTCAACTGCCCTCTCTGAGCCCATCTCAACATGGAGGGTGGGTACAGGCTTCAGAGCCACTGCAGTCTTCCATCTCCAGGCTGAGCAGCAGGGTGGCCTTAGGATGTGGAAAGCTCACAATCCTCCAGAACACAGGGGGGCTAATTCCAAATGAGGAACGTGTACCCCCACATCCCTGGTGGAAAACCGAGGGCCCTGGAACCTATGTCTTCTACCAGCTGCTCTGTCAATGCCGATGTTTGGCAGGAGGCCATAAACAGGCATCACGGGGCATGTCCGCCTCGCTTTGACTTACACAGGCATTCACGGGGTTTCAATTTCTCCTCTGTAAAATGGACACAGTTCAGTTATGGGGCAGAAGTTCAGGGGTGAAGCCAAGAAGGCACCGGCAGAGCACGCCTCCTGCTACCCCGCCCTCCAGGCCCTTCCTCCAAGGCCCTTCCAGGGATGCTAGGGGGGTTACCTACAGCCACTGGAACCCTGCTTTCCTGGACAATCTCCCAGATCAGGGAGTGCTGGGGCTGACCTGGGAGCAGGGCCAGGGGCCAGTCACACAACAAACATGATAAACTCCTACTCTGAGCTAGTCTGCCCCGCACGCTGCCCTTCTCCCAGGGCGCTCATGGGAGATGAGGGAAGACCACTTCCTGCCTCCCAGGAAGACAAGTGTGTCTGCACTACTGTGCTCTTCATAGCTACTCTAGGAAAGCCGGCGGTAATGGTCCCATTTTAAAGATGGTGGGAAAAACACACACGCCTATGCTGTGTTTTTGGTTTTTGTTTTGTTTTGAGACAGAATCTCACTCTGGTGGCCCAGGGTGGCGTGCAGTGAGGTGATCACAACTCACTGTAGCCTCGAACTCTGGGCTAAAGCAATCCTTCCACCTTTCAGCCTCCAGAATAACTGGCACTACAGGCACATGCCACCATGCTCGGCTCATTTTTTTTTTTGCATTTTTTGTAGAATGAGGTCTTGCTATGTTACCCAGGTTGGTTTCGAGCTCCTGGACTCAAGCAATCCGCCCGCCTCAGCCTCCCAAAGTGTGGGATTAGAGGCATGAGCCACCACTCCTGGCCAGTGGTGTTTTAGTGTCAAATCCTCTCCAAAGACTCCCAACCCCCTAGCCTCTCACTTCACAGCACATTTCACAGATCAAGAAACTGAGATCTCATGGCAGGAGAGTGATGGAGTCCAGACGATGGCATCATCCCTGCACCAGAACAAGTATCCTCCCGGGGCTCCACTGGGCCTGTCCACAAGCTTGGGGGCAGGTATACAGTGGGGAAACTGGGGAACATGGGGAAACTGAGGCACAGAGGTGCAGCGACTCACCCCAGGTCACAGGGGGATTCTAACCCAAAACTCCAACAAGGGGGCCAGTGCCTGGGAAGTGGTCATGGTGGTCAGAGGCAGAGACAGGGCCAGGGAGGATGAACAAGAGCACAGGGTGCCAGACTAAGCTCCATTCCCAGCACAAATTCCAAGGCAAACAACCTTTTGTATGCAAATATGCCAGAGCCTCCAGATACTCCCTGGCCTTGGGCTGACCTTGGGCAAGTCAAGGCTATCCAAAGGGCATTGGCACCCACTCCTCCAGGCTGTTGTGCCAGTAGAAGGGGCTCCTCAGGCAGTACCAGGCCCTGGGCAGGCCTTGCTCAAACACAGGAGCAAAAGTGCTCATCACCCCAACACCAAATTAGGGACTCTGGACATTAGGCTGCCAGAAAGTCAAACTAAACAAACCAAATCCACCAGCGCCAGGAACGAGTCTCAGCGCTCACGTTGCCGAGTTGCGGAGCTCTGCTCGGTGAATTAGCTCCCTGAGCCGCAGTTTCCCCATCTGTGAGAGGAAGCCAGCCTCCTGCCACCTTCCTGCCAGTTCCCTGGGGCTGTGGGCTGACAGCGTGACCTGGTCCAGCCCACCCCACTCAGGGCTTCAGCTTCCTCCTGCGCAGCGCCTTAGCCCCGCAACGCCCGAGACAGCCAGGACCCTCAGGCCTAACGCTCGTGGGTAGTGGCCATGGAAAAAAGCTTTTGGGATATCTGAGACCCCGAGTTCCGGTTTGGTTCCATTTCTACAAGGGTTAGACTTTATAATCATTCAAGGAGCAAGGCCAGCATTCGAACCCCAGAGCCTTGGGCACGGGAGCAGAAAGCTCTTTAAGCACATTCTTGAATTCAAACACTTAAAATAAAAAGTAGACTCTCTTCCTTCCGGAGGCCTCTGAGCCTCAGAGACAGCCGAGGCGATCCCAAGCCTGGCCATAGGATGACCTCGGACAGCCACTCCCCTCTCGCAGGCTCAGTTTCTCCATCTGTAAAGTGGAGCTGCGCTGGTCACCAAGGAATCGTGAAGATGCAACCTCCCTCAGGCGCAGAGAGGGCTCCCCGCTCCCGCCTCCGCGCCGCCCGCCCGCCAGGTGAGGCCGGTTTCGACTTCCCCCGGAGGGGCGCGGAGGGGTCCGGCGCCTGCGGCGTGGAGAGGCTTGGCCGGCCGCGGTGTCCGCAGGCGCCCGGGACCAAGGCGCGGCGGCGACTCGGGAAGGGGCGCGCGGGCTGCTGCTCGCTGCCAGGCTTCGGCTCCCTAGGGCGCCTGTTGGGCTGGCGGAGGGTCGAGGAGGTTCATACTCGGGGCAGATCGCGGCTGTGGCCCCCACCCACGGCTGTGCGGCCCCGCGACCCCCTCCCCTCGGCTTTCCAGTCTGTGAAATGGGCGCAGAGCCCCGCACGCGGCCACTCGGCCTCAGCCCTCACCTGTGCGGTTCCCTGGGGCAGGCGTGGTGACCCCGGCCCGCCCCCGGGGCCTCGCCTTGCCACGGAGGGTGGCGGCCGCCCCGCGCATCCTGCGCGCTCCGAGGCGCTTGGCGGGGTCTGCCAGGGCAGTGAGCCGGGCTTGTGGGGGCGGGACCTGGACCTGGGTGAGGGGCGGGACGCAACAAGCCCCGCCTCCCGTGCCCGCCCAGGGGCGGTGCCATGCAACTTACAGACCACGCCCACATTTGGGCTGGGACCGAGGTCCGGGCGGGGACGGGGGCGGGGGCGGGGGCGGGGTCCCCTAGGGAGCCCGAATACCCAGCGGGCCAAGCCAGCCGGCCGAGCGGCAAGTGTTGCTCCTCCGGGGCGTTGCACGCGCGGCTACCTCTGCCTAACACCCTTCCCCCATCCCGCCCTGTTCTCACCTCCATTCCTAGTGTGGTTTTTCCATGCGCTTCTATGTTTTTATTTTTTGAGCAGGATTTTGCCTTCTCAGGGTGCCGGATTCTGCCGGTACCAAAGGGCAAAGAGCAAAACCCCTCCCCGGCCCGCCCCTCCCACACCCCACTCCCCCCCAGAGTCCTGTGTGGACCCAGCCTTCTTTCCCTGTCTCTCACTGGGCCAGGCCTTCTGAGGCACCCTGAGGTCTGGGTGCCCTTGTTGTCTTCGGTTCTCACTGAGGGGCCCCCGGCTGGGAGAAACAGGATTCACAGCCCTGGGGTCTGGCTGCAGGGCCCACACGCACCTGGAGGCCTCCATTCTCCTGGCTTCCCCTTCCTACCCATCTCCACCTACAGCGGGCCCAGAGCTGTGATCCGGGCTCTTTCTCTCTCCCTGACCCCACCCAACTCAGGCTCAGCCCCCTTCCCAAACCACCACCAAAGGGTGGGGTGTGGTGTCAGGCCTCAGACATCCTGGATCTTGGGCTGCTTGTGGGAGGCCACCTGAGCCGTGCCTATCCCTGTGGAGCTGGCAAAGGCAATCCTGGCAGAGGGAACAGCAGGAGCAAAGGCCCTGGTTTGGCAGTGTGTGGCAGCAGAAGCCCAGAGCAGCTGGCTGAGGCATGCCTGCAGGAGTGCAGAAGGTGGCCCAGGTGGGCCAGGCTGTCTCCAGAGTGCCTGGCAGGTGACCATGAAGAGTGTGGATGTTCAGGTGGACCATGAAGCGGGGTTCCAGCAGGGCAGCCCCTCCCCGCCTCTGCTTTCCGAGCCCTCCAAAGCTGAGGTTCAGTGTGAAACGTGAGGGGCCCTCCCCCTTTCGCCATCAGGGTTGGCGTCACCCCTGATATCTTCTTCCTCCTTGCCCTTGTGGGTCACACAGGATGGCTTACTTCAAGCGCCTTTATTCAAAACCCAGCATGTGTGTTCTTCCGCCGTGTCGGGAAGTGCAGGACCATCAGCGGTGCCCACTGCACCAGAATGTCTTGCCAAGTGGCCCCTAACCCATCTCTCAGGCCTGTGTGGTCCTTTCTCTGGTTTTGCCCACCATGCACCCCTGGGCGGAGGGCCACTGCCTGTAGGTGCATGGACAGGGCTGGGAGGGAGGTCTGGGGCAGCCCTGCAATTGCTGGGTGGAGCTAGGTGAGGATGGAAAACACTAGGCTGCCTGCAGCTCCTTAAGCCACCACGCTGTGGCCCAGGCCTTCAGGACTCCTCAAATGCTAAACACTTGGCCATTTAGGAAGTGTGTTTCCTAGAGCTGCATAACATAGTGCCACAGACTGGGTGCCTGAGAACAACAGGAATTTATTGTCTTATGGTTCAGGAGGCCAGAAGTCTGAGATCAGGGTGTCGGCAGGCCTACAATCCCTCCAGAAACTCCAGGAGAACAGCCTTCCTTGCATCTTCCAGCTTCTGGCAGTTCCTTGGCCGGTGGTAACTTAACTCCTGTCTACACACGGTGCTCTCCCTGTGTCTCTCTGTGTTCACATCTCTCTTCTAAGGACACCAGTCATATTGGATTAGGGCCCACTGTAATGTCCTCATCTTAACTTAAGACCCTATAAAGAGTCTGTAAAGACTGGCCAGGCGCAGTGGCTCACACCTGTAATCCCAGCACACTGGGAGGCGGAGGCAGGTGGATCATAAGGTCAGGAGTTCGTGACCAGCCTGGTCAACATAGTGAAACCCTGTCCCTACTAAAAATACAAAAATTAGCTGGGCGTGGTGGCGCGTGCCTGTAGTCCCAGTTATTTTAAAAAAGAGTCTGTAAAGACCTTGTCTCCAAATAAGGTCATATTTGGAGGTACTGAGGGTTAGGACTTAAACATAGATTTTAGGGGACCCAGTTCAGCCCCTGACAGGTGGGATCAAGGAGGACAGAGCATGTTTTTCTGAGCAGTCTGTTGCTTGGTTGGGTTGTGGACATTTAGGCTTGTGGCGCTGGGCCTCCATTTGTACTGCTAGGGGACCTGGAGGTGGCCTAAGGACCTCTGTCATGTCCTTTCCACGGGGAACAGTATGCCTTGCTGTGGCTCAGAATACCCATTTGCTGCCAAAAGGCCATCTTCAGGAGCTGTGGGAGGGATCTGAGCCTGGTTCTGGAGGTGGGCCTGTCACCTATTTGAACCCTGATCAGGGCCATCTTGTCCACCTTTTCCCAGGCCCTTGGAATGGTTTGCTCCTACAAAGCCCAGCAATTCCAGCCACACACATGGGCGAAACTGAGGCATGTGGAAGGAATGGCATGGGCCCACCAAGGACAACCGCCTGGGGTGCCCCCTTCCATGGTGGGAACCATGGCTCTCTGACAGGCTTCCCTGATCCCTGGGGCAGGGGTGGGCACCCTTGCACTGAGTCTTCGTGTCCTCATCTGAGGGGTGGACGTGGTCCTGCCACCCTCTCAAGGCAAGTGAGAGACCGTGATGTGTTCAGGATGGAGTGGTAGCCTCTGAGCTGGACTGCCAAGGCCCTGTCAGCATTTGAGCTTGGCCCACCCACCCAGCTCTCCTAGTTGCCTGGTTTCCCAGACTCTCCAAGTCTAGGCACAAACTGGGAGCAGTGCTTGGGCTTCGCCTGCCTGAGTGTGTCTCTTTGCCTTCCTCACCCTCCTCCTCCATGGAGCCCTCCCTGATGGCACTCCGTGTCAGAGCCATTTCGTGCCACCTGTCCTTAAGGCCTGGTCAGCCTATGTCACGTCTCTGAAATGAAGAGGACATGTGGCCAGGTGTAGAGCTATGGACATGTGGCCGATTGTGGCCAAGAGGATCACTTGAGGTCAGACACACCGGTAATCCCGGCTACTCGGGAGGCTGAGGCACGAAAATTGCTTGAACCTAGGAGGCAGAGGTTGCAGTGATCTGAGATTGCACCACTGCACTCCAGCCTGGGTGACAGAGGAGACTGTGTCTCAAAAAACAAAACAAACAAACAAACAAAAAAATATGGGCTCCCCTGCTAAACAGGCAGGGGAGGAGGCTAGGAGGAACGGATGGACTGCTGACAAGGCAGGCCGGGAGAAGGAAGCAGAGTCAGTCACAGCCTGAGGAACTGACCAAAGTCGCAGCCTCTTCCCAGCTCCATTTGCAACTGGGAGCACACAGTGCACTGTCAGTGGACGCTTGTTGGATGGAACCTGGGAGGCGGGGGAGGCCTGGCAGCCCTGGGGCTCAGTGTTCCACTCTGTAACATGGGGGTCTCATGCGTGGCCAGAGGTTTCCAGGGGAAGGTGAGGGTCTGGCTTGGGGGTTTCCTCTTTCCTCAGACCTTAGTTGAGGTGTTGCCATCCCCAGGAAGTCTTCCTCAACCCTTGATTTGCCTGACTCAGCACCCATGGGCCATGGTGGCCTGGGAGGGGGCCCATGCAGGAGTCTGGTGGTGACAGAGTTCTTGGCTTGACGAGTTTTTCTAAAATTAGATAATAATTGTGGAAATCTAAAACATTGTGTTTTGCCTTTTTTTTTTTTTTTTGACAAAGTCTTGCTCTGTCACCCAGGCTGGATTGCAGTGGCATGAGCTCGGCTCACTGCAACCTCTACCTCCTGGGTTCATGCAATTCTCCTGCCTCAACCTCCCGAGTAGCTGGGATTACAGGCATGCACCACCACGCCCAGTTGATTTTTGTATTTTAGTAGAAACAGGGTTTCACCATGTTGGTCAGGGTGGTCTTGAACTCCTGACCTCAGGTGATGCACCCTCCTTGGCCTCGCAAAGTGCTGGGATTACAGGTATGAGCCACGTTTTTGCTTTATTCTTGATTTTAGTTTTTACTCAATAGAAAATGAGATTTTTGTTCTGAAAACCTCTCACAATAGACCACGTCCAGAAAGTTCTTTTGCAAAATGATAAGAGTCAGGGAAGCACTGGTGGCCTCATGGGTATCTTCTCTTTTTAAAAACTGTATTACCTTTTAAAAACTAAAAGCAAAACAAGAAAAAAAAAAAAAGTAACCTGAGGTTGCAGTTCTAATAGGCCAAATGTTTGCAGAGAAAACAATTTTCCCAAAAATGTTTTCTGCTAGGCCATCTAGAGCCCTCAACACACACCACTTATCCTCCTAAAGCAAGGCAAGAGCCCTGTCCCCACTGTGCACAGCAACAAAGGCCTCTCCCCGGGGGGTACTCCGCTGCTGGGGCCTGAGCTCTGACCATCAGACTGTCCTACCTGGCCGTAGCCTGCACAAACAGATCAGTCAGCCCGGGTGACGTGACATCGAGCCGCCGCCCTCAGGTTCAGAAATGGTGACTCATGCCGGGCGCGGTGGCTCACACCTGTAATCCCAGCACTTTGGGAGGCCGAGACGGGCGGATCATGAGGTCAGGAGATCGAGACCATCCTGGCTAACACGGTGAAAACCCCGTCTCTACTAAAAATACAAAAAACTAGCTGGGCGAGGTGGCGGCGCCTGTGGTCCCAGCTACTCGGGAGGCTGAGGCAGGAGAATGGCGGGAACCCGGGAGGCGGAGCTTGCAGTGAGCTGAGATCGCGCCACTGCACTCCAGCCTGGGCGACAGAGCGAGACTCCGTCTCAAAAAAAAAAAGAAATGGTGACTCAGAGACATAAAGCAAGGCGCCCGGAGGGCAGAAGGAATGACAGGTTCATGGAACAGGTACTACCAAGCACCTACTGCGTGCCAGGCCAGTTTAGAAGCTGGGATACAGCTGGGCCTAGGAGGGACAAACTCTGGCCAGGGGCTGCT